CCGTGGACCGTTTGTAAAAAAAAATTACTTTTTTCCCTCACGTTTATTCATCATAAGCAGCAACTTTGACATACTGGATATCGTTTAAAATGGAAATTTTCGATTTTAAATAATAAAAAACACTTTTCATGGGCCCTTTGAAACGTATCCTCTCAAGGAGATGCTGTTTCCCAACGACAGCTTATAGAATCCGGGCATAATTGAAGAAAAGCAAGAGGCTAAATGCCGTAGAATCACTTTTGCGACAGTCTTAGTTTGACGCGTCATGATATCCTGCTTTTGTGATGAAACTGATGATTTTCTCCATCTTTCCTGCGTTTGTTCACCTATTTCACGCAAAGTGGCGGATTCAATAGCATGGAGTTTTCAAAATTTATTTAGAACCAGACACATGAGCGCAAAACGGTAAGAAAATATTTGTACTTGGCAGAAGATCTTGGTTTCTGAAAGCCTGCCGTCAAAAGTCAAGGACGCAGCAAATTTGGAAATGCAGCAGTTTTGCATCAGCGTTACATGTATACAGCAACGACACTAGCATGATTGTATACTCCTCACTGCCGGGTTAAACTTGTTCAGAGTTCGACCAACTGACGCTAATATTCTGTTATAATTAGCAAGTCAAATCGGCATGAGGAAGCCGCTCCAGACATTTCACCAAATGACCGTTCGTCACCGGCCTGTACAATGCCAAAAAGTAACAGTTGTTTATAACCAACAAAATGCTACTTCCACTTTCGCTTATATTGCTGACGTCACCTTTAATCCGGTATAGGGAGAATAGGGCTCATTCAAATAATTTGTTGAAAGAGAGCGGTTGCTTTACAATCATTTATAAGCACCTAATCAGTTTTCCTATATAATTTCATATTATATGCTCAAAAAGCTGTATCCTCTTTGGGTGATCCCTGTTCACCACTTCCCAGGTTGTATCGTGTTACTGGAGTATGATCCCTGGCTACATGGAGTTTCAGGTTTAATGGCTTTAGACTAACAAACCCCGAATAGAGATATTGGCAATTGGGAAGAGCCAACAACCTGGGGCTGGATAGCTCAGTTGGTAGAGCACTGGTACGGTATTCCAGAGGCCGCAGGTTCAAATCCTGCTCCAGTTAATTTCATTTCTTTGTTCATCTTCATTATCATTTATAAACACTTAGGCAGTTTCCCTATATAGTTTCTTTCATAACGTATGTTCAAAAAGCCGTATAATCAAATAATTTATTTCAAATCAGCTGTCACTGTTCTCTTGAACGACACAGATCATAAATAACTGAAAACTTACAGGTACTTCAGAGAGGAGAGTCCACTGAAGGAATTTGACTCAATGGAGATGTTGTGAGCAGTCGTCTTGAACCTAAAAAATGATGGAAGAACTGTAGCATAACTCACATTGTGTGTGCTGAGGAAATAAGACGTCCTGAATGGGTTTAATACCAGCCCCTAATCGAATGCGTTAGTTTGATGGTTTTAACTAGGCCAACAATTTTTGTTCTCCTTTAATACTAACAGGAGAGAAAAATGTATGGCAATCCTTCCGAACGATGCTAAAACATATCACCAACCGAAACAGAATCAGGTTTTGAAATAAAGGTAATTGCCCAGTCAAATGATACACACAATATACGCGGGACGGGCAAAATCTCAGACAAAAACTTGATGTACGGAATTCTTAAGGGTTGTCGGAGGGGCGTGTCTTAGTCAAAACGGCGATAAGCAAATTCTTGTCCTGGTGTCTTTTTCGACGCAGGGTAATAACATGGTTCTTTGAACAACGTGTTTCATGGTCACTGATGTCATCTTTGCGTAATCCTGGAATCTATTGTAAGTTCTAATATTTTTCCCAGTAAAAATTGAAATTGGTTTAATCAAAATATCATTAAGCTCTGGTCTTCGCCGAACCTAAGATTATTACCTCCTTTGGATTGCTCGANATTAGTAAAGAGGCATCGTGTTGTGTCTATAGGGCATAAAATGTCATATCTCAGCCTGCATTTTATTATGTTTGACCGGAATATGCATAGCGCGCCGTTTATGCTAATTGTGGTTCCATTAAAAAACATCATTCACTGAAACTCGATGAAGATACCTAAACTCAGACAGAAAAAAAAAAAGATTTTAAATATCTTATCTACCACAAGTTACATTTCCCTGTATAGAGTAATTCAGCAAAACACAATTACTGTGAGAACAGAAACCATTTTATGCGTTTTTATCAAAAGTACTCCAAACCGAGATAGGACTTTTTGCACTGAAAAAATGATTGGCTTGTTGTGGAAAGAAGCACGCACTTCTCTTCTCTCCGACAAAAAGTGACAAAATACATAAATAAATCGCAGAGAACTTACATTCTTTGGAGAGAAGACATCCCACTGAACGCATTGGACTCAATGTTACCGATGGTATAGTTTGTCAGGCGCCTGTCAAATTAAGGGGTAACATCATTGAAAATTAGTGAAAAAAGTATTACATGCAAAGTTGGAAAGAAAATTGATAATTCGCAGGCCATTTTCCGTAGAGAAATATTGCAGATAAATACTACGCTCATCCTTTTGGGAAAAATAGAGGGAAAATGAGCACCTTTAAACAAAACTAATGGACAGAGAAAGCCACTTCCGTTGCACTGTGATGGCACAACTTGGTATAGAGAGGCGCGTCGAAGGGCTGAGGCTCCAGGCTAAGTATCTTAAGACAGGGATGGGCCTCAGCAATTTAACATATTCTTTTGTATACGGTATGCATTGTCGGATCGGTTTCTAAATTTGTATGCCTTTTTTATTTGTCTGTATCTAATCTAGAAATGCTCACAACTCCCTTCCGTTTTCAAAACAAAAGCAGTGATGAATTCCTCTTCGTTACTTCCCATTTATACGGGCCAGTATTATTTTGCACTCAGCTCCCTTTTGGTTCGAAGAAATAGATTCACGATTGATATGCCAGGGTCTCCCAAAACAAGTTTCCTCGCGTAAAGGTGTCGAATGCACCAGGGAATGTAAATAACATTTCTAACAATATTAATATAGAAGTTATCAGTGACACCAAATGTATATGTTAACAGCAATTGTGACTTAAATGACATTTGGATTGGCAAAAAAACACAGACAGATCCACGACGTATGAGTGCCAGGGAAGGGCAAGCCAAAGGCCTTGCTTCTGGAATAGGACGAGAACCAACATTTCGTCTTAAAATAACGCATGGTAGGTTATCTCTACAAAGGGATAGACTGTGTTTAATATATCTCAGAGAAATTTCCACGTGTGCTAAAAAAGCAGAACGTCACTCATGTCATGTTCTGATGTACACGTATGTGATGTAGATTACCTGTTCGTTTTCAACTTCGTTCGTTAAAATCTGTCTGTGTGTGAGAGACGTTATCTCTAACAACGAAGTTGGTGTTAATTTCTGTTCTTGTTTTCAGTATTCTATTGCTGCCATTCACTGTGCTGTTTATGCCAAAATATATTGGGTTGTTTTCCAGGTTAAGGGCCAAGATTTTTTCTACATGGTCAGCTCATTAGCGCCTCGCACGGTGTGGTGTTAATCGCTGGGTGTGGGTATGAATGGTATCCGATGAGTATCTCCNCACGTGTCTGGTCCAAAATAAATTTTGAAAACTCCATGCTATTGAATCCGCCACTTTGCATGAAATAGGTGAACAAACGCAGGAAAGATGGAGGAAATAATCAGTTTCATCACAAAAGCAGGATATCATGACGCGTCAAACTAAGACAGTCACAAAAGTGATTCTACGGCATTTAGTCTCATGCTTTTCTTCAATTATACCCGGTTCTATAAGCCGTCGTCGGGAAACAACATCTCCTTGAGAGAATACGTTTCAAAGGGCCCATGAAAAGTCGTTTTTATTATTTAAAATCGAAAGATTGCCGTTTTAAACGATATCCAGTATGTAAAAGTTGCTGTGGAACAGAAGAGGGGCCCTTTGTCGCTTTCTTGTAGCAATAAGGCGTGTCGATACAGCCAAATCCAAATCAAAGCCTGTAGAGCTCCTTTCGGGTTACGAATGAATAAAGGTAGGTCCCTTGTGGGGTTTTTCCATACTTAATCGCATATTTTTTGTCGCAGTTTCTGGATTTTTTTCTTTCTTTCTTTTGGTCAATGACAACTGCAGGGTCTGCTTCTAGGACTTTCTATATCATCTTCTTAGGGCCATCTGTTCCAGTCTCCTGCGAGGGGTGTCTGGAAAAGTGTCAAGCAGAGCTGCTTCGTCTAGACTGGTTCATAGACCACTTCAATGTCGACATCTGTGTCATTTTTTCCCACTTCTTGATTCAGATAGAGAGTTTGGCCGCTTTATTCCTAACACGGGTATCTGGGGTTTGTGACAGAGGTGGTAGCAAGTCAGTATTTGTAAGTCCAAGTCAAGTCACTTGTAAATTGTTGCAATCTAAACCATGTCACAAGTCATTTGGTCCAGTCACAAGTCAAGTCGCAAAGCAGTTTGGTCCATAAAAAAGCAAGCCACATGTCTTTTCCTTCAAGTAGGCCTACAAGATATCTCACTGTAAAAATTAAACAGGGCCTGGCACCAACTGAAGACTTATAATTTGAGACAGATGAGTTTAACTCGCTT